TTTGCTTATTTCTTAATTTAATCAATTAATCATTTCATTCCTTTATTCTAACTCACCTCATTGAGTTTAATAATAGGTTAATTAACCTTTATGAATTTAAGAACGAAAAAAATAAAAATAAAAATCGTTTAATTAAAAGTTAAAATAAAAATCATAGGTTAATTAACTTTTTATTATTAAATTAAATAATATAGTTAGTGTGTTAGGTAAGTGTTAAATTGATTTAGTTAACGACGTGAATCTATTATACATAAATTTGAAAATTTACGAACCTATTAAAAATTTTAAAATTATATAAACTAAACAAATGTAACTCCAAAAAATTAGGAACCAAATTTGTAATTTAATGATTTTTTTAACATTTGATAGCTAGTCACTTTTTAATTTTAATCAGACCTACTTCTATAGTTTTTAGTTGAATATCATTTTAATGTTAGCATGTTTGGATGATGGACATGCCACTTTGTTTGGGTAATAGCTCGGACATGTTGAGGATGATTGTGAAGGGCCAACATGTCAATAAGTAGAACTTAATTATGCTCCAACCTATGAAAGACATTGATCACCATAAAATTCGTTGGCAGTTGATAGAACGCCGTCTGATAGAGCATCACTTCTCTAAACTCCCCCATAAAAGGCGGAGTTCCACTTTTCCAGAAGTACACAATCTCTTGCATTACATAAGTTGACATACCATCTCGAATGTTTACTAACTATTGCTAACTATTATAAATGAAGAGCGTTACTAAGTACTAATATGAGATTTAGAGTGTACGTGGTCGAACACCACATTAGTGTGAGGATCTACTGCCAAGCTTACGTCAGCCTCAACGTTGGATTGCCTATTGACTTGCCACGCCAGTGAAAATGGGGACCTTAAAATTTCTATGAATATTTGATTGTTTGGTCACATCCTCCACAACAAAAAGAACTAATTCATATCCCCCATTACATAGGTATCTTAGCAACACCAATACATTACTTCAAAGAAAAACATTGACTTTTTAATTTTGAAACTATAGGAGAAGTAATATATGGCACATATAAATATATATAAATAAGGAGAAGAAAACACTCTTCATATAATATAATGTTTTTCTTTTCCTTTTAAAAGAATATTGTATGTTGCTGAAAGATTGACAAACTTACATCTTAGATGGGCCGATACATGCTCCCACTGCCACTACGGCCCATTTTGCTATTGGGCTCTACAGAGGATAGCAGGCCCAATCCCCGAGAACCTGGAACTGGAAAATCCAGATCCGGAAGTGGAAGCTATTTTTGTTTATGCAGAACTGTTACCTGTTCTGCAAAATTTGTGCAGAAGATCGGAAGCTGTGAATTCTCTGCGTTGGCCTCGCAGATCTCTAACGTGTTCATGCACTAATGGAGTACAGAAGGATCAAAGATCAGGTCTGATTTGTTTTTCTTTCTTTCTTTCTGTTTCTATCCTGCACATTTTTTGCTGAATCTCTGCCGTAAAGTTCCAATCTCAATACGATACCTGTATTTCGTAATTTGACCCTCAGCCCTTGTAGTCATTTTTGTTTATTTGTAACTTCCGTTCATCCTTTGATGCATTTTCCGGCTTTTGTAATTTCGATAATTCTCACTGGCTTGCTTAGTGGCAGTTGAAGTAGTGCTTATTGTTCTGAAAACTGAAATCGGACACCTGCGAATGGATGATTCTTGAAAACTTAGCTGCATTCCATCTGCATTTCGATCTTTAAATTGAATTATATGAATATAATCGTAGGATAAAGATGACAATGGAGATGGCAGTGGGGCTGGTGTCGCTGCGGCAGATGACATAGAGAGCTTGCGCAGCGGGAAAGCAATTTCAGGTGGTATGTTATCATGCGGCTCTCTTTGGGTAATCTATCTTTGTTCGATTGGAAGTCTCCGCCTTCACAGTTTGCTTTTAGTTTACGCTTCTTTTGGTCTTAATGTTCACATCCGGAAATTGCAGCGAGTAATGTAGCAAAATTGGGAGGAAGTTCTTTTGATCGATCCAAGTGGCAGCAAAAGTATGATTATGAAATATGAGCAAACATGTTAGATTTCAATAAATGTCATCATTATTTTCCTTTTGGGTCAGGTTCTAATTGATTTCCTTTTCTAAATTATTTGTTGAATCAGGTCCATAGTTACATTGGCATTAACAATTCTTACTAGTTCACAAGCAATACTCATTGTGTGGTCCAAAAGAGCCGGCAAATATGAGTATAGTGTTACGACTGCAAACTTTATGGTGAGCAAAATCAAACTCTGATTTGGAATATATGATCATCAGGTCCGAAGTTCTGTGTATCATATTCTTTCTCCGTTAAATGGGTGGTTATGGCATTTTTATAAATGCTATCCTTTTGTAATAGGTGGAGGCTTTAAAGTGTGCATTATCACTTGCGGCTTTGAGTCGAATCTGGAGAAGTGAAGGTGTGACTGAAGATAACAGGTTGTAAAATAATTTTGAACTTTATTGACCCAATATTAGATCTCTTGGGTGGGATTGCTATGATGAATTATGTTGCTTGTATCGCTGTCCTTGGCCAACATGCTGTATTGGTACTATTCAGTAAAGTAAAATAGTTAGAATTCTGAAATTTTATTCTCATTGGTCCTTCAAATTTGACTAGGTTGAGCACAACGTATGAAGAGGTTATTGTCTACCCTATTCCTGCAGCACTTTACCTTGTCAAGAATTTGCTCCAGGTTTGGTCTTGCCCTTTTTAAAGCTGATCCCTTAGTCTTTGCCACGAGCAACATTTCAGTGTCCTTGCTTATACAAGTGTGTTTGACTTTTATTCCTCATGTGGCAGTATTACATTTTTGCTTATGTGGATGCACCGGGTTATCAGATATTGAAGAACTTTAATATCATCAGCACTGGCGTTTTGTACAGAATTATACTTAAGAAAAAGTAAGCTTTAGTTATTGTTAGATTATTTTAGTTGTAGAAAAGTATTATTGAATGCGAGCGAAGTTGCTATTTCAAGTGTGCTTATACAATGAATGAAACAGAATTGCTTGCAAGAAAGTAGATGAACTGAGGAAATGCATTTATTTTTCATTTTTTCCTCTTCTCAATCCCAATGCTCCATCGAGGAATATTTATTTGGATTATGTTTTAACAGAAATCTTTTTTCAGGTTAAGTGAGATTCAGTGGGCAGCATTTATTCTACTTTGTGCTGGGTGCACTACTGCACAGCTGAACTCAAAGTAAGAGTTCTTTTTACAGCTGTTATATTATTCATTTATGAGTTATGCAAGTGTTTGGATCTCTTCCTTTTGTTGCATGTTCATTATCTTCTGACAAGGAGAAATGTCATTAATTTTCATCAGAAACAGAGTCTTTTGCACGTTCATTTGCTACATCAATTTGCTTTATATCTAATCAGAAACCATTAGATGATATCTGCATTTATCAATTAATTGATACTAGTCCCAACTCTTATTCAGTGATTATAATTATTGAACGCATTATATATTCACTTTTCTTTGCAGCTCTGATCGTGTTCTTCAGACACCTTTTCAAGGTTGGCTGATGGCTATAGTGAGTTCCAAATCTAAAATGCTATATGAGTGTGTGTATGTGTTTTGTGGGAAGAGTGATTCTTCAAATTATCAAAATACTTATTTTCTTGATGGTGGTTGAATCTTGTACAGATAATGGCACTCTTGAGTGGATTCGCTGGAGTGTACACTGAGGTGAATCATTTCTGTGCAACTTCAATACTGTCATCATTTTTTTTTCATAGACTTAACTATGTTTTTTCCCTGTAGAAAGAACTGTCATTATGTTGAATAGCTTGTTGTTCAATTGCTTCATCTAGCTACTTGGTAGGGAAACCTAGGTTGACTTCATGTCACCTTTTAGTTCCTAATATGCCTGGAAGAAAGCTAACGGACAGTTCCATTTAAGCTAATATGTGATCGTTACTTTTCATCATGTTTGAAAATTTTATTTTGCAGGCTATAATTAAGAAACGTCCTTCAAGGAATGTAAATGTTCAAAACTTCTGGTTATACGTGTTTGGGATGGCGTTCAATGCTATTGCCATGCTGATTCAAGATTTTGACGCAATCGCGAATAAGTAATTTCCAAATTCTGCTCTTGTGCTGAATTTATTCTCTCTCTCTCCATGATTTTAACACTAATTTATGACTTTGATCTAGATAGATAGATAGATAGATACATTCATATATATATTTTGTTTGGAAAGATGGATTTTGTTTCCCAGTAATTCATACCTAGTAAATTTTAGATTTTGTTAGCCATCTGACGAAGAATTTTTTTGTCAGGGGATTCTTCCATGGTTACTCATTTATTACGGTTCTCATGATTCTGAATCATGCACTCAGGTATTAAACAACCGCTTTCTGAGAGATATTGGCATCAATAGTAGATCTTAGACCAACTGTACAGCAGTCTTAAGTAAATTCGTTATCTAGCCAATTGAGTCCCATGGGATCGTGCTTGGTGATAAATGACAAACTGGAAAATATGAACAATTGGAAAGAGTTGGTCTAGTTTTTGGGTGGGGTTTCCTCCACCCCAGCCCGTTCGCTGTATCTTTCTTTTGTGATTAATGAAAGTTTCTCTAAGTTTCTTATCAAAAAAAAAAATGACAAACTGGAAAAGTAGCTAGTTTGCTAGAACACTATATTTTGGCTTAGCATAGCACTTTTATTTTATAGCTGAAAATTTCCACCAACTGAAAATCAAGTCAACAAGGCTCATATTGGCTGTAATTCTTAATACAATATATGAGGCAGGTGATTCCTTGAAAAGATTTTGCAATTCATGCATGCGAAAATTTGCACCCTGTATTTTTTCTTAATATGATTATATTTAGAGAATATGCTGACGGAATTTTTTTTCCCAGTGGCATTGCTGTATCAATGGTGTTGAAGTATGCAGATAATATTGTGAAGGTATTGCCTATTACAAGACATTGATTAATTTGAATTTAGTTATAGCTGCGACTTACAGAATTACTTAAGCATATGATGATATCTCTTGCAATTTTAGTTTGGAACTAATTGATATTTTTCAATTCCTCTGGTATCATATTATGATTTCTCAATAACAAGTATATGTTAAGCAAATGAAAGCCATTACATAAAATAGTGCAGGCTGCTCTGTAAATTTTTTAATGAGCTCATTCTCTTGTTCTTGAATAGATTCTTTGTTGATCTAACACCAATCCTGCATTGCATATAACGTACTCAAAACCGGTTGATTGGATTAAAAAAATTCTGTCCAAGTCAGCTACATAAATTTTTGAGCATGTGTATAGATTATCTTTACATCTCAAAAAACGCTCCTATTATATTTAACTGTGCAACTTGGCGCAGGTTTATTCTACTTCAGTGGCAATGCTTCTCACTGCTGTTGTTTCTGTTTTCCTGTTTCGGTTTCATCTTTCCCTCGCCTTTTTCCTCGGATCAACGTAAGTCAGTCCTGGTTTATGGCTGCTTCTGATAAAGCATTCTTTCCCATCTCCTTGTACTTCTAACTTTTTCGTCATTTTCCATTCACAGCGTCGTATCGGTTGCGGTCTATCTACATTCAATTGGGAAGCTGCAAAGGTAATGAAAACTTTCAATGGTAATTGAAACAATGGCGGTCGATTTTATATCAGTGTATATGGGGTAATTCCTCGTGCCCTTTTTGCCCCTTCACTTTGCCCCATTATATGTTCCAACTGGTTACATGAGAAAATATGAATTCCAGCTACAAGTTAGATAACAGATTACTGGCGTATACATAATAGGTTTTTTATTACCCGAAATGCAAGATTCAGCCTCAAGTATTGTTAGCAACACTGAGGGGAATTTGAGCTGCTTGCTTAATTTTCCTGCTTTATAGGTGGCATGATGCCATAATTTTTACCAAGAAGCTTGCAAGAGCTAACTTGGAACTACAGAGTTATTTTAGATTCGGTTGGAGACTAAAAAGGAAGAAAAAGAAGAAATGTTAGGATGAGCTCGACTGTTCATACTTCGTAATGGCCAACATGAGCATAGTTCAACGGTTAAGACTTGTTATTCCTTTTCTAGGGGTTGGAGCTTACCTTGGTATACTCAACAAAAGAGAAAAAAAAAGTTTACCTACAAATGTTCCAATGTGGTTTCATTTAATAATTACTTAGAGGGGAGAGGGATTTGGATTTATGTTACCAAACTTTAGATCTGAAAATCTCCATTAAATTCTGAAATCCCGTCTGGTCATTTTTTTTCCTTCTTCTTCTTCTTCTTCTTTTGGGTTGTAATTAACACAATGTATTTGGTGTATTTTAAAGATAAAATAGTATAAATAATAAATTTGACTATAGTATCACAGATGTGGAGGCGAGAATCCAAAACAATTATGCCTAAGTTGGCAAGATAAATTTTGTTGATTGACGGGATTCATTTCTTAGCCTTGGTAAATCGAGATATCGGTATTCCTCAACCTTAATTCTCGTTGTGCAACTTCTACCTGAAATGAACATCATCATTCAGGATCATCTGTTAAATTTGCATTTGGGAACTGAACGTCAGTCATGTAATATTATAATGATATTTTTCTTATGGAAAACTTTTATTAGTGTTGTGTTAATAAAGCATACAAATTAGTAATATCAACGGCAAATTGTACATAAGCCACATTTTACCCGTCTATTTTCCTCTATTTTTACTCGTCTTAAATCTTAATACAGTCGATTAACACAATAACAAAATTGAACTGTCATGTAAGCAACACAGCAGCATCAGATAAAAAAAAAAATTATTTCTGAAAAATCACGGTTAAAACGCACCGGCTCTTTAAATTCAGGACATAATGATTTCAATGGCAAAGATTAGGGGGGACTCTAATTTCGACTTTCTCGTAATGGGAAGCGAAAAATGGAATCATGGGGAAGAAGAAGATTACGAATAATCTGTACGCGCTTCTGTTCCTGATTCTCCAAAAGCCATGCGAGCAACCGTAATGCTGAAGCTTGCTCCCCCTCGGCTATCTCGTTTTTGTTCTTCGTCGGCGTTCTCCCATCACAATGCATCCGTGGTCGACGAGTTCACCAAGTTTTGCTACCAGAGGGACCTTCCAAGAGCCATGAAAGCGATGGAAGCGATGCACAGAAACCGCCTCTGGGCCGATGCGATCACTTATTCCGAGCTCATCAAGTGCTGCCTCATTCGTGGGGCTGTAGAACAAGGCCGGCTTGTTCACCAGCACGTTTTCTCAAATGGTTACGACCCCAAAACATTCTTGATCAATACTCTGCTTAACATGTATGCAAAATTTGGCCTCTTGGATGAGGCCCAGAACCTGTTCGACAAAATGCCTGAAAGGAATGTTGTCTCCTGGACGACTATGATATCTGCTTACTCCAATTCCAGTCTTAAGTATAAGGCATTGGAGTTTCTGATATTGATGCTTAGAGAAGGTGTTCGACCTAATATGTTCACGTATTCTTCTGTATTGAGAGCTTGCGATGGTTTGTTGGACCTTAAGCAGCTACATGCTAGCATTATGAAGGTGGGTTTGGAATCTGATGTCTTTGTAAGAAGTGCCCTGATCGATACTTACTCAAAATTGGGTGAACAGATAGCTGCTTTGAATGTTTTCAACGAGATGGTTACTGGTGATTTGGTTGTTTGGAACTCTATCATTGGTGGGTTTGCTCAGAACAGTGATGGGGATGAAGCTTTACTTCTTTATAAGAGAATGAAGAGGGCTGGTTTTGCAGCTGATCAGTCTACACTAACTAGTGTTTTGCGAGCCTGCACTGGGCTGGCGCTATTAGAATTGGGCAGACAAGTCCATGTCCATGTACTGAAGTTTGATCAGGATCTAATCCTTAACAACGCCCTTCTTGACATGTACTGCAAATGTGGCACTCTTAAGGATGCAAGCTTAGTTTTCACTAAGATGGTAGAGAAGGATGTCATCTCTTGGAGCACCATGATCGCAGGATTGGCGCAAAATGGCTTCAGTTCGGATGCACTCAAATTGTTCGAATCAATGAAAGTTAGAGGACCAAAACCAAATTACATCACTGTGCTTGGAGTTCTTTTCGCCTGTAGCCACGCAGGGCTTGTGAAAGATGGATGGTACTATTTCCAGTCTATGAAGGAGCTTTTCGGGATCGACCCAGGAAGAGAGCACTATGGTTGCATAATTGATCTTCTTGGAAGAGCTGGAAGACTTGATGAAGCAGTGAAGTTAATCCATGAAATGAACCATGAACCAGATGCTGTGACTTGGCGAATCTTGCTTGGTGCTTGCAGGGTTCACAAGAATGTGGATTTAGCCATATATGCTGCTAAAGAAATTCTAAAACTGGATCCCACCGACGCGGGGACGTACATATTGTTATCCAATATATATGCAAATTCTCAGAAATGGGAGGATGTTTCAGAAGTTAGGAAGGTCATGAGAGCCAGGGGAGTGAAGAAAGAGCCAGGATGCAGCTGGATTGAAGTGAGCAAACAAGTGCATGCTTTTATGTTGGGAGATGACTCACATCCAAGAACAGAAGAGATAAAGCGGGAGCTAAGCCAGTTAATTCAAAGATTAGTGAGAGTGGGTTATGTTCCAGATACCAATTTCGTGCTGCAGGATCTCGAGGGAGAACAAGAACAGATGGAAGATTCCCTTCAATACCACAGCGAGAAACTGGCAATTGTGTTTGGTTTAATGAGCTTGCCAAATGAAAAAACCATTCGTATAAGGAAAAACCTCAGAATTTGTGGGGACTGCCACATCTTTGCAAAACTCGTCTCGCAGTTGGAGAATCGAGTTATCGTTGTTAGAGACCCTATCCGATACCATCATTTCCAGGACGGCGTATGCTCCTGTGGTGATTACTGGTGACAAAACCTGAAGTTCAATATCAGTAGTCCATATGTGACATACATAACCAGAGGTTGGCCAACTCCTCAAGCCAGTTGATCAGCCGGCCATGTTAACAGAGCTTCATTATTGTGATCAAAACTACAGAGACTGCTCAGGTTCGATCCCAACTCCACATTTTTTTAACTGAAAAAAAGAAAGAAAGAAAGAAAAAAGCTACCTGATGGTTTATCAGAGATGGGATGAGCACGTGGGGAAGGAAAGAACAAGTAAAGAAACAGAGAACAAATAGGGAATCTATAGCCTAATTGCACTGCTGAGTGGTGAAGTGATCTATTTTTTGATGATCTAACCGGGCAGTATTCATAACTCCAGATGAGTAAAAATAAAGCTTTTCTTAAGAGTTAGAATTTTTTTTTGTTTTTTAGTATAACACGTGGAGACGATAATTCAAATCTCACGTTCTTTTGGTTGGAGACAAGTACCTTTAATAAGTTGAGTTATGTCCAAATTGGGTGCCTTAAATCTATTTACTTAACGGAAATTGGATCCACTTCAAAGTAGAGAACTATTCCTCCAAAATGGGTTAACACAACTCATTCTCTCTCTTTTTTTTCTTTAAATATTGACATGTTAAAAAATGTGAGTCTCAATTTCATGGAAATGTTAATAAAATGTTGGTGTGGATATGTATTTTTAAAAAATTTATAAAAATAAAAAATTCATAATAAATGTTGTAAGATAAATTTTATTGATATTAATATTATGTCCTATTATGTTGATTTTTTTTATATTTTATGATTTTCTTTTCAATATTTTCAAAAAATATTGACATGTCAATAAAATTTTAATACTCACCCTTAATATATGAGATCCCAAAATGTTTTCTAAACATTTCACATTTTCACTCTCCTCTAGACTTCTAACCTACCTACCAAATTCAACCATAAGATCAACTAATATTTTGATTAGTAATTACTCGTTTAATTAATAACAATACTAGCTCGTTTTCATTCATTTATTTATTTTCAATACTAGCTTGACTTGCCGTGATGCTGGAATCTGATTGTTTAGAAGCGATAATGGAAACTAGAACTCAAATGTAGCCTAAGTTTCTGATTATTTTCAAAAAAAGAAAAAAAAGAAAAGGAAAAAAAAGACTTTAGTTGACAGTTTCTTTATATAAAACATTTCAAATATCTATTTAGCATTTTCATTTTCTTCTCCTCTCTTATGAATATAAATTTAATTTAGATTAGGTTGATTTCATTCTAGTTCATTTCAATTATTTGTCATTTATATAAATTTAATTTAGATTGTGTTGATTCTATTATAGTTAATTTCAATTTTTTGTCATTTTTACGTCCACCAAGTAAACAAAGCCTTAGCCAATTTGAGTACAGCTTCAACTGGTTAAGACATTTATCTTGACTAAGATCGTATCTTCGAAACTCCATCTATTCAATGAATAATAATAATAAAATAAACAAAGCCTTCACTCTCGAAGAGTCTTTCCCATGGAACAGAAACCAAAAAGTAGAAAGATGATAGAGCTATGTTGACGGAATTTTATTATCCATAGACCATAAGTGAAGTACAATACAGATGATCGTTTCGTAATCGTAAGTAACTCGAGCATTTATTCAATTGCAGATTCTGTTTCCAGAAATTGTATGGTACTTGCAAATAAATGCACCATAATCAAAGTACAATCACCAAGTTGCAAGGATCGATCTAATGTATGCAACAGAATCAGATCCACGACCCCATACTGCAAATTATTCAGATCTATCTGGATGGACAAGATTACTTATGTGCTTTCTTACAGCTCGTCTTTGAAGCTTTCGGTCGGTTTATGAGCGATGAAAGAAGCATAAGCCTTGATTATTGACTCGTACGCCTCAATGCCTTTCAAATACTCAGCTTGGTTCAGAAACTGAAACAGGTGAAAAAATTAATGGTTTAGATAACAATGCAGGTGAATGTCCAGCCATTTATAGACTTGGAAAAAACGCAAATCTCACTAAAATGTATGATGTGAGGATTGTAAAGCGGTTTAGCAAGATAGCAACGCTGCTCGTGATGAAATTCGATTACTTCTAGAGTCCTTAACTGCCCATTATCCATATACTACCAGGCAGATGTTCAAAATGAAGATGATCAATCAAGATTTTAAGATAGGTTGAAGGTTGAGCAAACTGAAGACCAGTTTTTATGCTTTATTTCTAACCTAAAAACATCTACCTCAACAGAAAAACACAGGAATAAGACACCAAATCATATGACCTTTGAAAATTTATTTGAAACAGTAGATATAACTGATAAGTTCCTCACCTCATTATGGTCATGAAGAAGAATAGGAGTGTTGGCCATTGGAGAGAAGCCAATTGCAGGGAGGCCCAGATTTCGAAAGTACCGAGCATCAGTTGAAGCGGGAAAGATTTCTGGCTTTCCGAGTTTCCCATTGGCATTTCTAACAGCTTCTTCGAGAAGATTCCACCAAGGGTTAGATTTGTCAATTGCAGTAAGAGCTGGTTTCCCAAACTTGTCGAAAATAGATTCCTTCTGCTTAAACTGAACAACAATCAAGCACAAGGAAAGATTGAGATATAATTTATATGGTAAAAAAGATGGAATTCTCAAGTTCAATAATCACCATATTCTGTTTAACTGATAATACCCTAAAATTTTATCTCAGCACTGTTCAACTTTCTGCATCGGTTAGAAATTATCAAGCACGACACTTCGGTTTGAGTAACATGTTTACATCTGGTCTATAGTGGACCTCCATCACTCCAACACTTGTTAGACACGTGTTTGACGCTTGTTGTAACATATTTCATCACTCCAATCCTAACGTCTTTCAAATATAAATACCTTAGACTAAAACAAATTTGTAACTTAAAAATCATTGAAAATTAGATATTCCTGAAAATAGATTTTAGTACATTTATTCATCGCATTTTTTGTGTCCCAATTGTCTAGCAAATGACATATTGTGACTGTGCCCTATGCTTGTTATGTCAGAATCTAAAGACTCCAAAATTGCTACCTCGAATGTCATATTACGAGAAACAGGTGCCCATTCCTCTGCAATTCGTCTTTCAAGAGATTCTGGATTTGCAGTCGGTGGGAGGCGAACATCAAAACCAGCCTCAGCTTCAGATGGCTGCAGATTCATGACAAAACCCTGGTAGATAACATAGCAGTTATCAGGATACATCGGCAACATAGTTTCATAAGATCCTTCAACGTGACAGAGCTAACAATCAACCCCAATGTACCTTATGGCGCAAAATTTCAATAAAAATAGTATGCCATGACAAAGCGTAATAACACTAACATCAAAAGCATAATTCACAGATTTTTTATTGATATTATTTCCCAACTTGCTATTTGCGTTCAACTGTCTATGCCATAGCTTTTGAAGTTCCACATGGAACTCAAACGAAGGATAGAACAATGGTAAAAGTATTCTAGCTAATTTGCTAGATGAAGTCACTAAACTAATGTTCAAATTCAGAGATAAAAGATAAATGCAGTTTCTCTAGTAGTATTTGTATAAAGAGAGTTTGGGATAACTTTTGAAAAAAACATCTTCTAAGTGCAACACTTCTTCTGTGAGGACTTCTAATCCAGTACTTCCCCTGAAACCATTTTAAAAACTGTTTTTCAAAATTTAGAATTCACTTATAGAAAGTGCTAAAAACACTTAACAGTCATTCTAAAGTCATCATACAATCTCAAGTAAATCTTCAGAAGTGCTACAACTTCAAGCATTTATGGAGAAACAAGTTTCAAAGATCAACTCACAGTAGGAGATGGAGTGCCAGATTTTAAGAAGACCATGTTTACAGAGACGACCTCTCCTTCAGCCTTCAGACCGGCCTTCACCAGATCAAACTGAGAAGCCCTGAACCTCCGCACACTCTCAATGCTTTTGAACAGATTCTCCAAGGCAGTGTTATCATACAGCTTTGCTCCATGGCCTGGCGCCCCCACTGCCTTGATCACCATCCACCAGGGACTCCTCTCCCCATAAAATACCCTGTAGTTCTCACCCGGAGAAGGCAACCCTGATGATATTGGAACCGAATTAGCCTAAACATTTGAAGATTAAGGACGAAAGAATCTCACCCCATCAGCTAAAAAGATCTCACTGATAACCTTCATCGAGCACAATGCCTACATTCAATTTCTGAAACTCATCGGATTCAGCAAACTTCTCAGCGCCAGCACGGCCACCAATTTCTTCATCCGGGACGAAAGATAGGTAAACAGAGCGCGCAGGCTCGAATCCCAAAGCCTTCAAACGCCGAATAGCCTCGAGGTACTGCATCCCAACGCACTTCATATCCTGGGACCCTCTGGCGTAGATATTGCCGAGGGAATCGATGTGAGCTCCGAGAGGAGGGTGCGTCCACTTGTGGTGCTCGGCAGGAACGACGTCGGTGTGCGAATTGAGGAGGATCGAAGAGAGATCGGGGTTCGAACCAGGCCATTTGAGGAGGATCAGAGGCTTGCCCTCCACGAATTCAATTGTCTGGGATTCGAGGGCGAGGGATTTGGCCTGGGAGATGATGAAATCGGCAGCTTCGTAGTAGTGGGGGTTCGGCTGGACGGTGTTAATCTGAAGGTATTGCTGGAACCTGGCTATGATCGCGGAGGAAGACGATGATTCTTCATCAGCAATGGATGATGAGAGAAACAAGAAAATGGTTATAACAGAGAGGAGAAGATTAACATATTTCAAATTCATGGTTCAGTGTTACACAAGAGACACAGTACAGCTGAGAAATTGCATTCGGGATTCTTATAATAAATAATAATATATAAAATATTATGCTTATTAATAATATTATATATATAATATTTTTTTAAAAATGGTGAAAGTACACATAACTTAATAATAATTGACATAAATCACTAATAAGGGGCTGTGAGTTGGATCCCACTTCCACGTGCACTTAAAAAAAATATTTTTAATAAATAATATATAAAAAATAAAATATAATAATATATAAAATATAATAAATATGATTTCTATCGTAATAAGTTGATTGTCAAAGCGAGTATAGATAAGTGATAATTGACATATTTCTCATATTCTCATATATTGTAAAAATGCAAACCGTACATCTCAAATCTAGGAGAGTAAGGTTATAAATTAGATATTACATTCACCGAGCCAAAGAATAATATTAGAAACAATATCCTATTTGTTAATATATAATATAATGTAATTAATATTTTATTTTATTTTATTTTTTCAAAAAAATCAACGTCGTTTGTCTCTTGACACAATCATAAATGCATGTCTAAATAGTTGTCTCTTTAAAAGACGACCATTTTTTTATTTAAACAAAAAAAATCAGACGTGGCGCTATGCTGTGTTGCATCGTAGGGTTGTCATATTCTCAAAATAGTTTGTTCGACTCTAGACACGACCAAAGTGGTGGACTCAATTACACAGCGTTATTTTATAAAATAGTTTTAAAAAGTTTGCATTTTTAAAATAAGTTTTAAATTAGCATTATTTTAAAAATAAGTTTAAAAAATTATTTAAAAAACCTCTAGAGGTCCAGTTGCTTTGACCTTCTGGGATGTGCGGATGGAATTAGGGCCTCTCTAAAAGTCCATTTCAAAAGTTGGGCCAAGGCCCAAAGCAAGAAGGAGCCCAAAGAAGAAAAGCCCAAATGCCCTAATTATCCTTGAATAATATCATTTCTCCTATTAATAATTTTGAATATGTTGTTTGGGTAAGATTTTGTTGGCATGTTTTTGTTGCTTTTACTTTTGGTTTGAAGTTATTCCTTGTTTTGATCTTGTATGTCTCTTTTATCTTGTTGGGTTTTTTTAGCCTTTTGTAGCGACGTAAGTTACTTCCTATAGTACGAGTTTTATTTATTCTTTAAAAACGTTTTGAGATGATACAACTTTCTATTAGAAAATGAAAAATTTTAATGACTCGCATCTTTTAGTTAGAAGTAACCTATACTAGTTGTAGGTGTAACTAAAAACATACTTCTTTTACTAGAATCTCGATGTAGTATGCAACTATAAATAAATTAAATAAATGAGAGAATTTCTGTAGTTAAGAAAAAATAATAATATAAGTCAAAAGAGTCATTATTCTTGAGAATTAAACTAGAGTTTAATTCTCTATAGATAAATGAAATAAGGAAGCGCGTCGTTATATTATAAAAAAAATGTAATGTTAATATTATATTGTTGGTGTAATTCTCTAAATAAAATAATTATGCTCCATTTTTTATGATATCAAAGAACTTTCTGCCTCTTTTCTTTTCTTTTACCTAGTCTCCTTTAAATCATCTCGTAATTTTTCTTGCTCATAACTTAGTCAACGTTGCTTTAGCTATTTCTAATTTTAATAGTGATTTTTGGTGTTATTGGTAAAAATTGTCTGACTTTTATTGTTTTCTAATAAGAAAATTCTTTTAAAAATTGACTAAATACATCAAAGGGTATATAATATTGTCGGTTTTACCTTTAATCTTTCATTTTTTAAAATTCTCAATATCATCCTTAATGTATTAAAATTCTTAATTAGTCAATCACACGTTAAAATTTGTTATGAGATGTCAAGAATTAGTGCAAACATGTGTTAATTTCTTTGTTACTGGTTCCACAATTTTAGGAGTTATGCTCGATAATTAATTTCATAGTTGGAAGTTTATTAAGTAGTGGATGAGTGGATTGAAAGTTTCGAGAATTAATAGGTTAGTGGGTTAGTGGAGTTATGATTTTGGTTTAGAGAGATTTTGAAGGGTAGTGGCCTAGGTAGTTGGTTAGTGGCCTAAGTAATGGATTAGTGGTCGGTTTTCTTATTCCCTCTAAATTCTTGTAACAATTCTCAATTCAATGAATAGAAGTCCTTCATTCGTACAGTTTCTCTCTTGCTTCCTTTCTATTGTCCATCTTCATTTTTTCGTTACAATAGAAGCGGGTCGAATTTTTGTTGATGGACAAGTTGAATTTCATGCGTTAAATAGTATCTGAGTGACATATTTATGTATCCAAATATGTAAATAAAACAATAATTTAATGATACATCAACTTTTTGTTAAGGAATTTTAAGATTTTTTTAATTTTTTTTTTATGTTTATGAAATGACCTAATTGAGAATTTTCTCATACATTAAAAGTAAACTTGAAATTTTTAAAAAATTAAAGACTAAATTGAACATTACCTCAAACAATAAAGACCATTAGTATATTTTAGCCTAAAAAAATAGGGGTATATATTTAAAAATACATTATTTAGTTATGACCAATATTGATGCATCTTCGCCTGGTCTCATAAACTAGAAAATATTTCATGTTGCCTCTCATTCAACCAAAGATATACATTTTTTACTTCAATTTTCTATGGTAAGACATTATTTTAAACTGTATAAATATTTTAATAATTTTCGAAATGGAACCAAGTCAAGTAAATTTGTTCTTATCATCATCGTCGTGGGATGTTTTATTTCTTTAATTTTTTTTTATGGGGGAGAATGTAAAGGTGGCCGTAAGTTTATATTTTTTTAGTTCATCAAATTAATCAAATTATGTAGGTAGAAATTTTGATCTAGCAACATGAACATGTTATGTCGAAGTTTATGAATTAATTATTTAGATTCTTAGAAAATATAATTGATGTACAAAGTTTCAAATTGACCGGAAACTTCATTCAATGGATCCCGTCGCGGCGGCGGTGGATGATAACGGAGAGTTTTGACCGGCGATTCAACGGTCGCTTGCTTTATATTTTGCTTCTAAAAAGATTGTTAATTGAATCCTGTGTTTAACGGCACAATTTTAAGTATTATGGGAGATATTTGAATGTTTCAAAAATTTGACATTTTTCATTTTTCTTTTATGCTTATTTGAATTTAATAACTCTTGTTTTTGGCCTTTCTGGACTGCTTTAACCTTTCTGGTCCCTAGTCCCTCCATGTAGCGAAGCTTCTCGATATATATATATATTTTTTCTATTAAACAAAGAAAGAAAAAAATTACAAGACAGGTTGATGAAGTCCAAGTCGTCTGGAAAATGGTGCAGTGGCAAGACTCGAAACTTTGAGATATCACCTACTTTGTGACTTCAAGTTTAAGCCTTATGTTACGAGTCGGATTTAGTAGCATAAACCAGCGTAACATCCCTTTCATTATATATATATATATATGTTATCTCATTTTTTTTTCCCTTTCTTATTAAGAAAAGTAGCTAATATTTGAGCAATCCAAGCATGATTGAGAACTTGTTTTTTCTATAGAGAGTCGGTCAAATTTGTGAAACTCCCAAGTTTACTCAAATTCAATTAATATATTTTAAATTGAATATATGTTATGAACTATTTTGACCAATGCACACCTTATGTTATTATATCCATTCATAATTGGGTAGCTTCACATGATTTACCAATTGAAATATTATTATCATATAAATGTTTACTAAAATAATTAACGAAATGAGTTTATAAATTTTGCTAGTTAGTTCTTTTTTATGAGAAATAGGTTCCAAGAGAGCCGAGTCAAATTAATGGTTTAGGTTTTTAGCGTTTCATTTGTCTAGTTCTATTTTTTCAAGAAATTAAATTAATTGATCGTTTTTCTTTTTCATTTTTTGAATGAACAGTCAATCAATAGTAATCAAAAAGTGAACCAAATCAAAACTATATATTATGATTAACCCAATCTACAAGACAACAAATGAATTAATTAAATGAAATAAGATTTTAAGGATTATTTGTTTCCAATTTTTCCAACTCAAAGTTGACAAGGGGAATTGCTGGCATTAATACATGTCCTTCAAATCTATTCTTTCTAATATTTTATGTTTATTGTCTTGTAGCAACCTAAGATAATAATTAATTTGAACACATAATTCAATTTAAGTACATCGACGTTAACCAATCTGCCATTCTAAAAGTTGATTTTTTGATTTTTTTCGCTCCCGTCGAACTGAAAAGAAAAAAAATTAGTGAGACATTAAGATGACAGGTTCATATCATGATCTCTCTTATTTAAAATATAATATAATATTTTATTATTATTATTATTATCAATTTTTGATAAAATTCCATTAGTAATTGAAAATTTTGTTTTTAAACAATTAGATTCATTTGCCTACAATTTCTTTACTTTCTAGGTTTAAAACTTTTGTTGCGACTTTAAGTAAATTACAAGATAAAGAAATCGAGAGTAAATAAATTAACGTAATGGTTATGGCTCTTGAAAAATTCAAAGATGGAAGTTATTTTTTTAAACAAAATGAGATGCTATTTGGACATCAATTGGTTTGACTTAATAGCAAATTAATGAATATTAAACCAATGTTTTCTTTTTAAGTGATGTCATTAGTTTGAAGTCTATGAAAGGTTTAAAATAAGATTTGATTGACTCAATCTTATAAAATTGGATGACAAGATATGGAGGAGAAATTGTGACATTAAATTGACCATATAGATAGACTTATAAGTTATGATATATATATATATATATATAATAAGAATATGAAATACAAACATTGGTTGCTAACTCAATAATTCAAGTTCCATGATTTTTTTAGCAATATTAGGTAAAAGATTTTTTTTTTCCATTATAGTATAATTTTTTAGAGTATTGTATTATAGATAAGGAAGAACTCAAAAATTAAAAATAAATATTGAACCTACAATCTATATTATAAAAAAGGCAATTAATATTTGATTACTTCGAATGATGTTCAGACTTTCACCGAATGATTAAAACAATAAAGTCTAAATTTATGAGTTGTTTGGAAGTGTGTGAT